CTAGAATTGCAACAAATTCTGTCAAGAAACCATGATCGTGTTGGGCTTTACTTCCAAGTTCCAAGCTGTTCAGTGCTAGTTTTTAGTATGTTGCTGTGACGTGTTTTGCTGGTTGTATTGGTAAGAGGGGCGGGAGCTGGAGCTCTGCTCGCTCCAAGGGAGCAAAAGATTAAGATGAAATTAAAGAGCAAAGACGAGACATGGGTAGGATGCATCGAGCAGAATGCATAAGAAGCAGCGTATGAATAATACTAATCCTTTAGTTAGAGAGTTGGTTTTTTTCCCATTGAATGATAAGGTTCTGAACTAACAATAAAAAAATGGGTGTAGTTTCTGAAGGTGGCTTTCAAAATTTGATCTTTACGTAAACTTACTACTGGTATTGGAGTTCCAATATGGTTTACGATTGTGTGTGTACATGTATGTATGTAGTTCGTAGACACTCTTTTTATGTATATAAAAAAAGTTAAATTGGACTTTCTATAAAAAAGAATTTGACAGTCCTTTATTCGAAATGGTGTGCGAGTATGTATGTCTAGCTTTGGTTTTTAATAGTTTTCTTACATTTTCTGGCCAAGTATCTCTATGGTAAATTCATAATTTTAAAAAACAAATGACAGTGATGTCTAAATACACTGTTTCAGATATAACGGCATAGTACCAACAGTTTTTCTTACAGCTTTACAACTGTTTTTCTTCTGCATTTAAGGTGGCCTAAGACATGCAGTTGCCAGTATAGCAGGTCTTGAGGCTTACAAGTACATGAAATTTGAAGGAGGAGTGCATCGCGTTCAGCGGGTGCCAAAGACAGAAAAACAAGGACGCATTCACACCAGCACAATGACTGTTGCAATATTGCCTCAGCCCACTGAGGTAATATTTATCTGTATAGCAGACTTTACCAAGATCTTAAAGGTCTTTTCCAACCTTATTCTATGATGAGAAATGTTTTTACATGCTGTATTGCTGATACCCAAGTGTTTTCTGTTTCTGTTGCTGTTCTCTCTTAATGATTTTTTTTTTTAATCTTAGTTTTAAACTTTCCCATATTTGTTTGTTTATTTTTATTTTTGTCTAGGGGGATGAAATAAAGAATTTCTGGATTTCCTCATAATGCTAATCTCAAGACAGTCACTGGCAGTTTACTTCAATATAACTTGAAAATTCACTGTGACTGTCTTGCATGCTTTGTGGAAAACTTTACGTTTTTTACAAAGTAACGAAAGACTGAATTAGTTTACAGACCTCATAGAGATTTTTTTTTTAGCACCTCTTCTTCCCCATTTTTGTAGTGTCCTCATGTTGTCCTTCCAAAGTGTGTATGGGTGATAATTCATTCTCAATATATTTGCTTGGTTAAAAAAAAAAAAGTCTTAAGAATTAAAGCTTTGTTTTGATGTTTGTTTCGTGTTGACCTAGCAAATTGTCAAAGATGTTACTCCTTCCCATTCTCTCTTGAAGTTGTCTTGCTCCTTCCTCCCAGAGACTAGCACCCCATTCCAGAGCCAGCCAAAGGAATATGTTCCATTTTATCTAAAAACCATCTGGTCAAGTTCAAATATTGGTTAACCCTGCTGGAAGAGGATGCAGAGCTTTCAGAAGAGGGGGAAGATTAGTGCTAAGGGATGGTTATGCCTTAAGCTACTTATTTGCCCGATTTCCTGTCTTCCATGATGTTACATTCCAATCTGGCTACAAGGATTTGTTAATATAAGTGGACACGAGCTACCACTCATAAACTTTTAAAAGTTTGACCTTGCCTGAATGTGCTTTTTAAAATAAACCAACTATGCATATTTGACGACTGTCTAGAAAGAAACAACATAAATATGTTCTTTTTTTGGTTTGTTTTCCTGTCTTCCATGACAGATGAGGCTGCAAATTAATCCAAAAGATCTACGGATAGAAACAAAGCGAGCTAGTGGAGCTGGAGGCCAGCATGTCAATACCACAGACAGCGCTGTACGGATAGTTCATATTCCCACAGGTGCTTCATTTTTTCCTTAGTGCAAGGTCTACATTGCAAAACTGCTGTCAGAATTTCTTTGGAAACAATGATTTTATTTTCAAACCTGGGCAACAGTAGAGCAGAGTTTTCATATAGTTTTCATGTGTGTTTATAGTACTCCAAATGCATCATCTTCTGCCCACTCCAATTTGTAATAGTGAAGACTACTGGCTTCAGTAGGTAAGCTATCCTTTTGGCCATTAAGCATTACACTCTAAAAGCATCCAGAATAGTTCCTATGAAAAATTTTAGCTTTCAAATAGTGGAAAAGAAACTGTAAAACAGAGTAGGTTAAAATCTGATGATTTGCCTTTTCTTGACTAGTCTCCGAAAGAGAGATTGCTCTATTTCCATATTAAAATGTTGCTTTTAATTGGAGAGTCTCCTCAGGATACCAGCTTCCATTTGTCTGCTGGCTCCTTTCCCACAGATGACACACTTAACTAGGAGGCCCATCCCCAGGGCTCAGGTTAGTAAATGGAGGATGGATAAGATACACCCTCAAATGCTACCTGATTTTAGCTATCGGATCTTTTTTTTATTTCCATTCCTAAGCTTTTTACTTCCCTTTGAGCAATCCACAACAGCTGCCTTGACTTTCATTGCCTTTTAACTTTTCCTCTTCTCTACCACAAACATTAGTCAGGCTTTACAGCCTCAGGGCTGTATCTTCAGCTCAGCCTCAGCTCTTTATCTTCACATATCCAGGTTTTTGTCACCCATTTCTTCATACTTACTGAAGACATTAATCCATTCTGCACTTGTTGCATCACCTCAGTAAAGCAGAAGGTAAACAGTGGAGAGGATAGAATTCTGTTCAAGATATGGTGACAAAAAGGTACTCCAGATTCAAAAAGTTTTGGATTGCCTGCATGTTTGGAAAAAAACTCCACAAACTAAACCCAGCAAATTATCTTAGTTTTTGCTGAAGGCAGTTATTAGTGTTTGTTATGGAAATCTTAAAATGTACTGCAAATTTTTTTTTTTTTTGTGGTTATGCACTAGAGATGGCTCATAGTGAGTTTTATACCTCACCTTATCTCCTGACCTTTTCTATACCAGCCTTCCCTTCTTCATTCCTCTTGATCTCTCTTCCTTTACAATTGTCCTGTTAATACTTCTATTTCTCTCATCCTAACTCTGTTTATAAACCTTGATTGCGACCCAAAAAGTTGATTGTAAACAAGTCTTTCCTAAAGTAATACTATATAATCTTATAAAAGCATATTGTAATCTTACCAGAGTAACTTAAAATAAATCCAAATAACAACTTACGTTGTGCTGTCTTCTTCCTGTATTTATTCTCCCTACTCCTTTCTTAGGCTGTTCAGTTCTTATCTTAACTTGATTTTTATGTTTTGGAGGGAGACACTATACCTTCTTTTCTTTTAAAGAAAATAATGCCCGCTTTTGTATATTCTGATCATATTCTGTATACTCACTATCTCGTATATTTTACTGCTCCTAAATCCTAAATCTCCTGGAACTGTGAACAAAAATTACAAGTATTAAAGGTGTCTTCTGTAAGTCAGATCACGTCATGTATCTCTTACTTCATTATCTACCTGTTGTCCCACATATCAAATTAAATTTCTTGTCTTATGGCTTAAAGCACCTGTACAACTCAGCCTGCACTTCTCTCCCAGTATCTATCGTTAGACATTAATAAGGCTGGAGTTTTATATTCCCAGTTCAAAATATGTTTTGAAGAAAGAAACAGCTTATTGTAACATAATAAAAATCTTCTAGAAATTGCAAAACCCTTTTAGTATGTGTTACTGTTAACTGTTAAATGTCATGATATTTTTGGCAGGGATCATATCTGAATGTCAGCAAGAAAGATCTCAAATTAGAAACAAAGAGAAGGCTATGCAAATGCTATGTGCTAAACTATACAATGCCAAACTGGAAGAAGAAACCAAAAAGAGAAACACTGTTAGAAAGATTCAAGTAAGTTTCACGTAGTAAAGATATAATTCTGTATGAGCATATGTTCTTGGGTTAACTCCTGTGCTGAACTGCAAATAGGAAATGGAAATATAGAGGAACAGAGCCCAGGAAGGACTTACACGAGGCAAAAAAATTACATTCTACTTGAGCAATAAAAGTCATACATTAGCCAGACTTAAAATTTCAGTAGTATGTATATTCTGGAGATCTAGTAAAACAAACTGGATTAGAGCATGAAGAACCAGAACAGTATTAGAAAAAGACACAGTAAAACCGTTCTTCTACATGTTTGAGAACAATTACTGCAACTACTGAACTGGTCCAAGCACAATGTAACTGTAACAAATTTTAGATAATCATGGGAGGGAGAGAAAGCTTTCTCTTTAGGTGCTTAATCAACATTTTTTATAAAAAGATTATGACGGTAAACTGATTCTTCTTGTTTGATAGGTCGGGACTAAAGGAAGATCGGAGAAGATCAGAACATACAATTTTCCACAGGACCGGATTACTGACCACAGGATAAGCAGATCAGTGCATCATATTGAGTCTTTCATGCTAGGGGAAGAAATGCTAGATGAAATGATACAAACTCTGAAAGAATATGCTGATTATGAATCTTTAATGGAAATTATTTCAGAAAATGAAAAGAATCTGTCCTGAACGTTGCTCTTTGTCAGCCCATTACAACAGATGTAGACTTATTTGCAAAGCAGCTTCTTGGAGCACCACCCAGAAGCAGCAACTGCTTTTCAGATCACGAAAGACACCACAGCTTGTTTCCTCATGACTGATAAAACAGTTTTCCTACTTGCTGAGTAAAAGACTTTATTACCTTTATATGAGACAGTATTGCTGCAGCAGTCCACTTAAAAAGTAAATTTGACTGGGCAAGAAGTAACTGCAGTTTTTATCTTTATCCACTGAGAAGATACTGATAACACCACTGTTGAAAGGTACGCATTAAAAAATGAGCTATTTCTACTTCCAGTTTTCATTTAAACAGTAGTTTAAATGTGAGTACAGTGTCAAGTAGCTTACTTGAGAGAACAAAAATATCCTATTTTGTTTGAGTAATTGGAAGAAAGTGGTAAATAAATGATCCCACTGCTAATCTGCATATTAGTGGGATCATGTTAATCTCTTACATGTTAATCTCTTACACATGGCATGGGAGGAGTCAAAGTGTACCTCCTTCATGTTTTTGTGACCTTCTGGCCCTTATTAATAAACACAAAAAACTGTTTAGGTATATCCCTTGTTCCAAAAAAAAAAGCTGTGGAAGCCAAGTGACAAGTTATGGAGTTGTGTTTGAAAAGAATGTTTCTGTTCTTGAGTCAAAAGTGAAAACAATCATTGCAATATTGTTTGGCTGATACTTCAGTTTCCATTTGGCTTCAGTTCAGTTTCTCCTTTACGCTTCTTAATTGGCTCTCTGGTGTATTGATTTTCTAAAGGTTACATAGTATGAATGGCACACTGTTTTAGTCTACTTATTTACCAGCATCTTAAAACATTGAATTGGTGAAAGCAAAGTCTAACTTTTGTCTTTCTAATCTACTGATATATGTGCACATATTTTTATCTGTGGGTAAAGACAACTCTTAACTTTTATTTTAGACTACATTTTACAATCCCAAATACATATAGCAATACAAAACCTGCAGCTTCTGTGCCACATTATGTCATCATGCATTGTACCTATGTATGTGTGTATACACACACAGAATGTATTTGAAATATGAATATCAGTAAATAAGAAATTGGAACCTAAGGAAAAATTTTACCATTAATATAGGGGTGTTTACTTTCAGACTGCTAATTAAAATTAGTGTAAGAAATCACAATAGGAACAAAGTTTCCCACAAAAAGCTTATAGAAATGCATTATTTAAACACCCTATATAAAAATCAACTGATTATTACTAGTTTATTATCCTCTTTTATTAGATTTGAGGCTGCAGTTTGAACCAATGCATGTCAAAACCCACATAGACTCACTTAATACTTTTATCAGCTTTGTTTTCCAGGAAATACTGCATGGTAACTATGATTAGGTTGCAAATCTTTTAATTAAAAGATGCACACATTAACTTCAAATGTAGGAGTGCCTGTTTGCATAAGGTCAGGCATACACATTTCCTGTTGGTAAGTGTGAGACCTAGGTCTAGATTTACCACCACATTTACAACTCCCAGCTGGCACATAAGAAAGTAAAAATAAACATTGATGCATTTTGTGTGTAAAATAATTAGATATTGATTGGAGCAGAAACTAGGACTGAAGTCTTTATTCCTAGCAGATCAGTACTGTAAACAGAAGACTAGCAAGCCCTTGTGCCAGTCTTCTTGATTTCACTTAAAGCCAGGCTATCTTATACCAAGTGATGGACAGGGTTTGTGGTTCCTTCAGCTTCCCCGAACAGCTAAGGGCCATCAGCCAGGTCAAAGCACTGGACTACTGCATGGAACTTACACAAGTGTTCAGGCCTTTGCCACCCTCGACCTTCGCCGATGCTGCAGCTGGTGACCCGGCTGGCCAGATCTTGCCTGGCTTGCAGCCTCCCTGTTCTTGTCTCCTGAACAGACACTGTAGATGCGTTGTTTCCTCTGATCAGCATGAGAAAAGACAGACGGCGTGGTTCTGGCAGGAGGCTGACAGAGGTATCCCAAAACTGGCATCTGACAGTGTCATACAAGGTGGACCTCACTGTCTTCAGTGGTACCCCCTTGGCCTGTCATGGCAAGCATTACTGCATAAAGACTTGAAGTCCCTTTCTTGCTCCGTATTTGTTTTAATGCAAGGTCTGTTGTCTCACTGCAACTGCAGCCACCCTGCGCTGTGAGAAGGTTACGTTTTTGGGAGCGCTGGCATCCCCGCTCTGCTGTCCAGTCTCTGTAGCTTCCCGGTAGCACTCCTCCTCACTCTGCCAACTACTAATAACGGTGACTATACTTTAAAAGAAATATATTTCTTCCATGGGAGGAACCCAGATGTGAGATCCACCGCCAGACTTAACAAATCCTTCCCCGGTGCAGGAGCTTTGCACGCTTTGAGCGTGCACCCCTGTGTGTGCAAGGACGATCCCGGACGCGTCCATTCATAAAAGCAAACGCAGATCTTCGGGCGCCAGGCAGCGCTTAGACGTGCGTCACCCCCGTAGCGCAGCAGGCGGTTGTTCGTTTAGGAGAGGGTCCTGGGCCCCCTCGGGTGCCGGGAGATGCCGCCGGGCGGGA